CATGGTAGCTTTGGTCTTTGTGATCCTTTAAATGATCCAGATTTCCTCCAGGTTCTGTTGATCATTAGTTGTGGTTGAAACGGGTCAACAGTGCATCCTAGTTCCACCCAAGTAGAGAAGGGAGAAATGACCACTGTAGGGCAAGAGGCCAGTAAACTTTCTGTAAATGTCCAGATAGTAAATACTTCAGGTTTTGTAGGTCCTAGGATCTCTGCTGCAGCTACTCAAGTCGGGCATTATAGCACAAAAATAGTTTCCTTAGGATTAGAGTATTTTGACTTCTGTTTTGAAAATATTTGGGGGGGGGGGGGCATCTGGGTGGCTGAGTCTGTTAAGCAAGCAGCTGACTCTTAGTTTCGAGTCAGGTCTTGATCTCGCGGTTTGTGAATTTGAACCCTGCATCAGGCTCTGTGCTGACCGTGCGGAACCTGCTTGGGATTCTCTCTCTCTACTGTCTCTCTGACCCTCCCCCACTTGCACTATCTCTGTCTCCCTCAAAATAAATAAATAAACTTTAAAAAAATATATAAGATGTGTTAATTACCAAGATGTCATTTCTGTGTTTTCTTTAGTTAGGAATATAGTGGGCTAAGTCCTAATCTGTTCTACATCGTACTTTTGCAAATATAATGAATTTAAGAATTGGAAAATTTTAAATAAATGTTATTACTGTCCTTTGTAAAAGTTTAGTAAATTCCACATCTTGAACCATCTATTGGGGTGATAAAATAACAATGGTCTCTTTTTTTCTATATCTACTTTACTGTTTAGGTTTCTTGTCTTTTCTGGTCTCAGTTTTCATAGGTAATATTTGGTTTTCAAATTTGTTTGTATGGAGGTGAGCAAATAATCTCTACAGTCCTTTTCTGTCTATGGTTATTTCCAAGTAATCATTTTTTTATTTTTATAATTTTGCTGTTATTCCTCTTTAGTTTTTCCCTAAGAATCAACTTGTGGATTTATTATTTCTAATTTTGTTTGTAATAATTAATTTTTCTTATCTGTACTTTTTTTTTCTTACATTTACTTTTCCTTATTGTAATTCCTTGGTTTGAATGCTTATTTTATTATGTTATTTCTTTTTATTTTTTTTTAAAGCTTATTTATTTATTTTGAGAGAGCAAGCTCACGCACACAAGCAGGGGAGAAGCAGAGAGAGAGAGGGAGAGAGAGAATCCCAAGCAGGCTCTGTGCTGTCACTGCAGAGCCTGATGCAGGGCTAGATCTCACAAACCATGGGATCATGACCTGAGTTGAAATCACCCAGGTGCCCTATGTTATTTCTTTTTAGAATAATGTAAACATATATGTTAAAACTTATCCAAGCATTTTTTTCAAATGTGTTCTATAGGCTCTGATATACATTGTTTTTGAATTTTTCTGAATATTTCTGAATGCTTTGCAATTTATTTTAATTTTATCTTTGACCAAAGTGTTTGTTCAAGCCAGTATATTTTGAAATTTACAAGTGAGGGGTGCTTGGGTGGCTCAGTCAGTTAAGCATCCGATTTCAGCTCAGGTCATGATCTCACGGTTCGTGGGTTTGAGCCCAGCATCAGGCTCTATGCTGACAGCTTGGAACCTGGAGCCTGCTTTGGATTCTGTCTCTCTCTCTCTGTCTCTCTCTCTCTGCCCCTGCCCTGCTTGTGCTCTGTCTCTTTCTCAAAAATAAACACTAATTTTTTTTTTTTTTAATTTGAAATTTACAAGTGAAAATTTCCTTTTTTCTAATGTATTTTTTTAATGTTTATTTATTTTGAGAGACAGAAGTGAGAGAGAGTGCACGTGCACATGCATACAAGCAGGGAAGGGGCAGGGAGAGAGAGCTGAGAGAGAATCCCTAGCAGGCTCTGTGCTGTCAGTGCCAGAGCTTGATGTAGGGCTCAGTCTCATGAACCAGTGAGATCATGACCTGAACTGAAATCAAGAGTCAGTCACTTAACCAACTGAGCTACCCAGGCACCCTGTTTTAGATGTGTACCTTACAGAGAGTTTAGGTAGGTTTTATTATGTCAGTTGTTAAACCTTCACGTGTGTCAAAATCATCTAGAGGGCTTGTTAAATAC